TACGCGGGCCCCGTCTGTCATTATTTGTCACAATTGAAAATCGACGCATCCATTTTGCCGTCCAATTGCAGCGTACCCAGGCATGCACGTTTCCTTTGACGCGCGACCCAAAACCGACTGACGGTGGTACGCCGACGAGACAACTCGCGGGGCACGCATTCCCCAAGAGAGAACGCGCTACCCATGGAGGTTAGAGATAAAGAGAACGATCGCTGTAGAAATTGTGTCCCAGACATATGGACAAAATAAGTGAGGCGCTGCGATCGCTAAGTTGTCTCAATAAAAGCGGGCTAATTTGAAATGACCAATGCCACGAAGAAAATTTGTACAATATTCAACTTCTACTTGTATTCATAAACAGCTTACTTCACAGATACTACTTGCCGACGGCAGCTTGGCTGGTGGCTGAAAAATGAACTATGAATTCTACAAATTTTCAAGGAAAGGCGGGCCAATGCTTTTTAGTACGTAGCGATCGTTCTCCTTATCTCTAACCTGCATGCAGCTTAAGAACATAGATTGATATGATCTTATAGGCGATATTTCTTTAACTTGAATTCGCAGTATTCTGAACTAAATATGTATTTTAGTGATGCTGCGACGGCGTGGCCGGCAGAATGTAATAAAACCTCAGTCCTCCCAAGGGTTGCTTACCCTACCCTTATATTTTTGAAAAAAAAAATGAGTATACAAGTGCGACCCAAGCAGCTGAAACCTATGCTACACCACTGGACGTAAACATGCGATTTACGCTTATTTCCAGTAAATTTGAATCCAATCGTCGAACTGCATTAATCATAATTTATATAAGTAGGTACTGTATTCCTACAAAATAATTCTCAAACAGTGATTCGAAAATTAATCGTTCACGTATGCAATCATGTCACAATCAACCCCAACGATATATCTGGGCTTGTCACACACCTTTTAACTTAACGTAAATGTAAATAAAGCAATAAAGCCTAACCATCAAGTACTACAAGTACGGATATTGTAAATATTGAAGCGTTAATCAACATTCATTCAAGTAATTGAAAATAAGTAATGATCAGTTTTCATCATTCTAGAGGACGTATTATGAACTTAAGTGCCATGCAAAACAGCTGTTAAAAACAGAATTTTGAAAACCGGCCCTGTGAAGAAATCGCGTAACAAACAAAATACCTCCTCCTTTTTGAAGTCGGTTAAAAAGGATACTTCTATAGCATATAAAGATGTGTCGCTGTAACAATCTGGCTATGGCTTTAAAGTTCAAAATATGACCTATGACCTCACCAAAAAGAAACTGCATCTCATTTGAGACTTTATGTGTGACTGTAAATTGTTAATATGTATATAAACAATTTTGGGTGAATTAGGGGGATATAATAAATAACAAACTCCCTGTCGATGTTACTATTTTTATTTTCGTCTTAGTATCAAGACAAACTGTGCCCTCAGCGTAGGTACACATACAGGATGCTCTATCAATACACAAGAACTGTGAGTTACACGTTATCATATAAATATCTATACAGCATCTATATGTACAATGTGTCTGTGTAACGATCTAGGCAGTGTCAGCTGCACCTAGGGTTACCATTTAGGAATTCCAAAGTCCTGACAAAAATCCTGACATTTCGAAAAAAGTCCGAACTTTTTAGTCACAAAATGGTACCATTACTGGTATGGTATTTAAATCAGTATGTACTTTTAATATACATATTCAATGTAATTTAAAAAATCCGGACAATTTAAAGATCCGGGCTAAGTCCGGACTATAGTCTAAAAGTCCGGACTAATCCGGACGGATGGTAACCCTAGCTGCACCCCGCCCAGTGGGCCCACTATGTGGACACACTACGCTCGTACAACGAAGCTTCCCATTACTTAAAACTTATACTGGCAGTGCAACCGACTTATGCACTAACTGTACCACGATATTAATGTTACACATTCAGTGACAGAGATATGTAGCGCGAGATTTATCGTAAAACAAGCAGAGTTACACAATAGAAATATTTAAAAAATTGTAACGTAGTCGTTTTTTTTTGTACGAACTGGTATTCTTTAGTCCACACTATATAGTACATGCGTTGCCGTTTTCCGCGGTCCGAAATCCATTAATTAGCTGCTACTTGTAGCCACATATCCACTATCCTAAGATTTAAAATTCAATACCATCTCTAATTCTTATCGTTAATACAGCTTTACAGTACCAGTCGTATCGTATCTTTATTAAGAATATTTAATTACATTTTCAAATATTTTAGTACTATTAATCCAACACAAAGCGGTTTGTTAGAGTGTCGGCTGCTGGACAGTTCATGGTGAATTTAGTTCTACCAACACCGTTATAAGCCTTCTAGGCATTAAAATTATAAGTTGATCACAGAATAATAAAAACCACACTATATCCTGAACTAACAGCTTAATTAATCTTTATATCAATAAACCGTATTCTAATAACAAAAATAGGTATTTTTTTGGTAAAAATATTTTTCTTGGTTTTACTTAACCAATACTGTTATTTAGTAGTGTAGTATCGGTATTTTGATTGAAATATTACTTTAAAAGTGTGTGACAAGCGCAATTGATCACAAACACCGTAACACAAAAATATTTTTTTGAATATATATAGTGCCAGTGAGGTATATATATTCGAGAGTTCAAAAAGCATATTATTAAAATATTGAAAAATTCCATTACACTAAGCAATTTACAACAGTCTACGCTGACATTTAATCTGCAAGTTTACATGTCTAACTAAACATTACAGTCCAATCAAAAATATAAAATGATATCTATTATTATAACACTGTGTGAAAGATTGAACAAAATTTACATGTATGATCTTACGTTAAACACTAATATATGACTGCAAACTAACGTCAAACAGTCGTGTCTCATGTGCATATTTAACATAAGATGTTTTCAATAGTTATAATATTGCCAAACTTAATTTTAATTGAATATTGACTAATGAAACTATGAGCTAAAAAAATACAATAAATTGTAAAGTGGTGATTATTATGAAAATATCCTTTATTATATTTAATACATTATTTATAATCTGTATAGAGATAGATGGCTTAAATCTGATGATAATACCAAACTAGCGTCATTCCATTCTGTAAAATAAATAAGTATATCATCTAATAGCCACAAAAAGTGAAGAAACAATAAAATAGATACATCAGTCTACAAAACTCGAGAAAACGAATCTTTCAAAAAATAATGTATAAAAATTTTGGTACAATATTACAATATTCAAAAAGTAAAAGTGATTTGAATAGTAGTAAAAATTTTTTTTTTACAGAATCAGAACGAGCGCGTACAAAATAAAAGCTATCTACGATGACACATTACGACCCAAGAACACTCAATGTTTTTCATACACTAAATATAATGTTATGATTCTTTTTTTCATGGATGAAAAAAAATACCAAGTCGTTAGAGTATTGAGTTAAGTAGATAATTATATTAGGGATATCCTCTGAGAAAATATTAACGTATGAGATCTGACACTTGTTATCATACACCATCACACGTAGTTATCTCGTGAAAAGTTCGCAAACACACGTTATGATAAAAATGATAAAAAAATCGAATAAACACCATAAAGTCAAGGAAGACCGAGTCGATCCTTCGCGACTTGTTGGTTGATGTTTAAAATTGTCATGGGACCAAATTATAATATCGCTGCACCATTGCTTTCCGATCGAGATACCAATAAATCGATAAAACTAAAAAATTAATGTTATGTATCTTATGATGAAAACTTGCCGATATCTCTGCTACAGGCATTTTCCATTGAACGCGTTATCAGTTTTATATTTTAATATTATAAATTGACTTCCAAAGAAAATATGATAATAATAACACATTTTGTTAATGTAAGTAATGCGTCAAACAATGGTGCATTACGGTTATAATTTATTAGCATCGTTTAAAGACATTTCTTAACGGGACTTATGATCTTGTAAATGAATTTTATTTTATAATAATGAATTATTCTGACGACGCATTACTGCAAAGGATGCGAAACGTCAATAAATAAATAAATTCAGTGCATATAATCCGTTAAAAACTTGTTTTATTTAAGCTTCATGTCAAATGTTTAGTGTAGTAAATAGTCCCGCTATGTAACCATGCCCTTATGGATAAAACATAATTTAACCAATTGCCATGTTTCAATTACCAAATCTTTACGGCTTTCCACCATTACTTTCTAACAATCGAATTGCCCTAATCTCAATATTCACTTGTGTTATAGTTCATTTTTGAAGTAAAGCGTAATGTTATTAGCCTACAAATAACATTAGCATGTTAAAAACACTTCCAAGCCTATTGGTAGATTAGTCCCACCCATAGAATCAGAGAGAATGGGCCGAGAATTCCAATACGAACCAACTCTTGAAAAATTCGAACGAAAACTACTGTCCGTTCGACCGATTCCATCTCTTTCACACTTTTCTGTCCGTTTATCGCAATATATCGCTTTTTTCTTACTACAGAGTAATAAACTTCACGCAGATACTGCAAAGTCAATAGGGATGACGACTTTTTGTCTATTAGGTAGATTATCAAACGGTATATTTTAATTTTCCACTTCATCAAAACATTACAGAGCTACATTGATTTGAAATATCATATGACGTCACGTCTTGGTACAATTTTTACTTTGAAGTGACGTTACGAGCCCTTCAACTCCGAACTTTGACGCGCTGTATCTTTGTAATTATTTGGTTGATTGACAAAAGAAAAAAAAAGTCATTTTTTGATAATCTAACGGACTAAATTGAATTTCGCTTGTGGTGACGAGTCATCATTCTCAATAAGTATGGTTCCATAAGGGCAAGGTGTCTTTATAACGATGCGTCATTCCTTAGCGGGCCATCCACTACCGTTCATTCCTTCTGGAATCTATAAAACGAACGAATTGAATGGTAGTAAATTGCTTGCTCGCTCTCGCACATCGACTACTCAATCCGTACGGATTATATATGCCGGCAGTAATGAGCGTTAGTGGATGACCAGCTATTATGCGTAGTTTCTCCACGACGGAGGGGATATTAAACAGGGGAGATTACTCTGTGTAGTCCCAGCAGTCCTTCTCGTAGCCTTCGTGCACGTGCTCGAGCAACACCTTGCGTCGGCTGTCGCAATATCTGGGACAAACAGTTGTTAGGCTTAATGTAATATCAACTATACTTGAGGCTATCAGCGCAAAAGTTGCCTAACCCTCATATTCTGATTTATCTTCTACAATTAAAAAAACGTGTTAAAATTTAATTCAAAATATCCTATCTCTTGTTTCACCAGGCATGGCGTTGCAAACGTTCTTTTTGCATTGATTTTTTCTCTCTAAATTAACTTTATAAGTGGCCTTAGCTGCTTAATCAGAATATGAATAATTGATCGTTAGGCCACTTTTGCGCTGACAGCCTCATTTATAAGTGGTAAAGTCTAAAATCTGGACAATTCACAACAATTATTTTGTCATAAATACGATAAAAAAAACAATTATTTTCATGTAAGTAATGTAAATTCTGGAAAAGTTATAACAATTATTTAGTCGGAAACTAACCAGAGCTTGTACTACAAATATTAAACGACATACAATAAACGTGATATCATATATTATAAGTGACAGATATTTATTTTACGTGTTTTAGTGGAAAGCAAAGAAAAATACTGACTAGTTGTATAGATATAAACACTGCCTTTATTACGGGAAAATTATTTTTAAGAAAATCGATCCTCCGCAAAGGTAAGTATAGACTAGAGCATTTCAATGTAATGTGACCAAAATGTGACCGACTTTCTTATAAACAGTACAGGCATAAGTTTTAAAGAATATTTCGTTATCCTCCAAAAAAATGTAATTACCGAAGGTTACACTTTATGGATATTGTAATAACGGTCTACAAAAAAGGCAGAAAGAAAATCTAAACGAGAGTATCTCAATGTAATGCGACAGACTTCCTTATTAGAGTACTGGCTAAACTTTTAAACAATATATCACCTGCTATTCCATAACCCCCTGATTAATAAACGAGGAATAAGCTTAGACCAGTTACGCTGTGTTTTGTTCATAACTCAAATGTCATTTGTAATATAATGAGGAGACAAAACATTGAGTAGCTAATTCAAGCTTCATCATCAACCTATTAATGCCCCCACTGCTGGGGCACAAGCCTTCCCAGTGGATGGAATAGGGAGATTGGGCCATGACCCACCACGCAGGCCCAGTGCGGATTGGTGGGTGCTAACGACTGCAGATGCAGCCGGGACCAAAGGCTTAACGTGCCTTCCGAAGCACGGAGGAGCTCGAGATAGTAAATTTTTGATCACCCATCCAATGACCGACCACTGCGATAGTTGCTTAACTTAAACGATCGCAGCCGAACGCGCGAACCACATGCGCCATCGAGCTCATTCTCTGCTTATTAATAAGGGGTAAATGTCTAACATTTACACTTCATTTTTTTCCTCAAGCCACTCACCTGTACTTGTCCTGCACTTTCTGCTTGATATCAGCTAAGTTCTCGCTAGTGATGTCCCTCTCTAGATACTCGGACAAGGTTTCAGTCGCGGACTCGAGGTCTCGCTGGTTGTCCTCGAAGATAACCGACTGGTTGTTCTTGCGTAGATAATACGCGAACACGTATGTATACATGAGTGTTTGCCGACACTGGCAGAGGATGTCGACGGCCTTTTTGAGAAATTGGACCTGTACAAATAAATAATAATAAATAAATATTTCCAACAATCACACCAATTAGCTTAGCCCCAAAGGGTACGGCCAGAGTGCACTCAGATTCAGATTCAGATTCAGATTTCGAAAACAAGCGCGGGAAATAAACAGTGTAGTCGAAGGGTACGGCCAGATTGCACTCCTGATTCAGATTCAGATTCAGACTCAGAAAACAAAGCGCGAGAAAAAGCAGGCAACATGCTTAGACTACACTGTTTATTTCTCGCACTTGTTTTCAGAATCTGAATCTGACTCTGAATCTGAGTGCACTCTGGCCGCACCCAAAGAAAGCACTGTAAAGGCTTGTGTTATGGGATACTAGGGTAACGGACAGAATACATATGCTGTACATATATATTTATATAGAAATACATATTCAACATCCATCTCTGGAAGACAAATGCTCGTATTCATCACACAAACATCTGCCCCTGCAGTTTTGCCAGTACTCTCGAGTAGGCGACATCTTGAAACCCGCCGTACAAACCACTCGACCACGGAGGTCGTCCAAACTCATCAAATCATTTGATATCATGTTAGAAACACAAATTAATCTATATTCAGAAATCCTACTATCCTACTTACAACTAATATTATAAATGTAAAAGATTGTATGTTTGTTACTCAAACACGCAAAAAACTACTGAACAGATTGGGATGAAATAAGGTACACATATAGTTTATGACCTGGATTGAGACATAGGATTTTTTTAACCAGGAGAAATGTTAGGTTCCTGTGGAATTCTCAAACGACTAAAGTAAACGAGAACAAAGTCAAGGGCGGCCGCTTATCATAAATGCGATAGTTTGTCTTCTATTACCTCTTCACGCTTAAGCGTGAAGAGGTAAAATTTTATCTAAATCGGTTCAGCGGTTTAAACCGCTGAACCGATTTAGATAAAATTTTGTAGAGAGTTAGTTACATATCTGAGGAAGAGCATTAAAAAGTTTGTATCTCAGAAATTATCCTTAAAAGGGGTGAAACGGGGGTTGGAAGTTTGTATGGGAAACCGATTAAACCACGCAGACGAAGTCGCGGGCACCCACTGGTTTTACTATAAATTAATCATACTCTGTGCATATTGCACACTAAGAGCATTGAGCCACTAATATAAATTCCCGGTCGCCACAATACAGGCATGTCCTAGTGCTGAAGCCGTAGGTAACTCTATTATAATTTCAATATTGTAAACTTTAAATTGTTTAATATCATTGTAAAACTTTATTTTTCAATAAATTATTATTATTAATAGAGGCCACTAAACGCGACCACTAGTGGCTAAGCCAAGCCACTAGACGCACCCACCAATCGAAGCCGCTGAGGCTGGGCTTAGTGGCGACAACATTCATTAGCCTTTATTAAAATCCAAAGTAATGACACCATTGCTGAGACACAGGGCTTTCCTGTTGATGTAATAGGGATACTGGGTGTTTTAACCTACACGGAAAACTGGTAGGTGTTAATGACTGCGGATACAACAGGGAGCAAGGGAATTAAAGAGCAAGGGACTTAAAGTCCGATTTAAAAATCAAGCAGTTTAATGCACAAAATAAAGTAAAATATCCGAAACATTAAGAATAATCCAAAATAGTCATCCTCCTTGTAATGTCTCACTGTACAAAACAGGTGTGTATTAGTGTCCGAGTTAACAATGAAAATAATATTAAAATTAAAGTAAGTCGATTCAGACATTGTGCCCGAATCGTCAGTCAATGCATAAAATCGTCTATTTCATATGTATGTACCTATTTAAAAAAGTTTTTGAAGTTATACTTCTTTAGGCGCGTTATGAAAAAATGATGAGAGTGAAATTTTTAGATGCGCGCGCATCACTGTAACCCAAAAGTAACAGCATGAAGTTGGCTGCGGGCGCGTTATGAAAAAATCATGTGACTGAAATTTCGAGATGCGCGCGCATCACCGTATCACAATAGTAACACCATGAAGTTGGCCGCGGGCGCGTTATGAATGTTAGTGTCTAATAATGGTGGATTATTAACCACTTAGTGGTTAATAATCCACCATTATTAGACATCTGTTCGAAAGGTACTTTGAACGATCCACGGAGCTCCATAAGATGATCGCGTTGTCAAAAACAATGTTGGCACGCTCGTCGCCTCTGATCACTGTTTTCATATTTATAATATTTATCCACATGTTTCTAGTTTCTACATAGACACAACGTGTTTTAGTTACTTACAAGTGCTAATTACATATGGACTAATAACTTAAATTCAGTAGTGATTTTAATTGAATATTTTGAATATTTATTTAATTTTTCAAATTAAAACTGAACTTAATTGACTGTGTTAACTATCCTTTTCCAGTCCTTTTATTATTTTATTGTAATTATTTGCATGCAATTAAAAAATATTTTTAATGATGCTAAAGAAGTATAACTTCTCACGCGCGTACATAAGTTACACGCATCCATTTTTTCTATCAAATCTATGGTGTGTGTGTGAAAATAAGTATAAGCAACAATAATGACCTCGATCCAGCTCATGTTGTGTTGCTGCATCTCCTCCATCTTCTCCTTGACGGAGGCATACAGTTTGGACTCGAAGCGTAGCGACTGCATGTGGTTCATGTATCGGTTGCAGTAGAACAGATATCGTTGAAGAGCCGCGCGAGACCTTTCTTGGGCGTCGCGTGCCGCCTTCGCTTCGTCTTCGTCGTACCTACGATACGAGATAAATAAATAAATAAAAGAAATATTTCTAAAACTCACAATTAACCTAGCCCCAAAGTAAGCATGCCGCCTTAGTATTGAAGTTTAGTTGTTTGAAGTTTAGAAACATGAACCATTATTCATGCTTCCATATATTATCATTTCTAATTCGTTAGGTATGACCAATGATTTAAATTAAGAGGACGTTATGCTTTTTAGTATAATGGAAACTAGTTTCAGGTTTACCTGTTACAATTGTACCAGCTACTGCCATGCGGCTCCCAGGGCCCGAGGCAGACCCAGCAGAAGTCAGCCTTGCAGTTCTGGTTCTTGCAAACCATGTGGTTGCAGCCGCCGTCCTTCTCTATGGTCACGTTGCACTTGGGGCACTCCTTCGTGTTAGCCGCTATCCAGTTCGATGTTTCCGAGTCGTCGTCGCATTTCTTTAATAATAAATAATAAAATTAATATTTCCAACACTCACACTAATCCAACCAGCCTAGCCCCAAAGTAAGCACTGTAAGGCTTGTGTTATGGGATACTAGAGTAACGGATAGAATACATTTATAGTACATATATACATGTATATTTATATAGAAATACATATTAAACATCCATGACTAGAGTACAAATGCTCGTATTCGTCACACAAACATCTGCTCCCACAGGGATTCGAACCCAGGACCTCTCGAGTCGGCGACACCATGAAACACAGCGTAGAAACCACTCGACCACGGAGGTCGTCGAAGTCGAAGTTAAATAGACAATTAGTGACTCTACGTTATATTCATCATCATCAGCCTATTAATGTCCCCACTGCTGTGTGCCAAAGTCACTGCTGGGCACAGGCATTCCCTATGGATGAAATAGGGAGATTGGACAATGATTATACATGACACACCACGCGGGCGCAGTGCGGATTGGTGGATGCTTAAGACTGCAGATGCAGCCGGGAACAACGGCTTAACGTGCCTTCCGAAGCAAGGAGGAGCTCGAGATAGTAAATTTTTGGTCACCCATCCAATGAGCGACAACTGCGAAAATTGCTTAACTTCGCAGCCGAACGCGCTAACCACTTGCGCCATCGAACTGCTTGTTATATAACTTACGTCTTTATTTTATGTATTTTAGAAGCAAAATCTGACTAACTGTTCAATCTACGTATAGCCGAAAAAGCCGCTGGGTATAGTAGCATGAAGTTTTTGACAAAAGTTCAATTAATAACAGATGTAAGTACTAAAAATGGATTTTTGAAAATTCACATTCCATCATATTCGTCTATATTTTGACAGTAATGTTAAAAAAGCTTATTGCTATCAATAAACATTTGATTTATTTCCTATAAAGTACATGAACATCAAATTGATTAAATACGTACCTAAGTATTCAAGGAAAACATTTTACAAAGGAGGAGGGGCTTGAAAGTATGAAAGAACCGTTATTTATGCACAATGCACATGCATAACCGAGCATTTCTTATTGTGCAGAAGTGTCAGGCTAGGCAAACACTCGGCACGCGAAGCAAAAGGTGTGTCCGCAGCGACACTGATACCATACATATCATACCTATATACGTTGAACTACAGACTTTGATCTACTTCTTGAGCAGACAACACCGCACGGGGTCATGCCAGTTCTCGCCGCACGCGAATCAGAAGGTGTGTCCGCAGCGACACTGATACCATACATATCATACCTATATATGTTGAACTACAGACCTTGATCCACTTCTTGTGCAGACAGCACCGCACGGGGTCGTGCCAATTCTCGCCGTACGCGAAGCAGGTGTGTCCGCAGCGACACTGATACCATACATATCATACCTATATACGTTGAACTACAGACTTTGATCTACTTCTTGAGCAGACAACACCGCACGGGGTCATGCCAGTTCTCGCCGCACGCGAATCAGAAGGTGTGTCCGCAGCGGCACTGATACCATACATATCATACCTATATACGTTGAACTACAGACCTTGATCCACTTCCTGAGCAGACAGCACCGCACGGGGTCGTGCCAGTTCTCGCCGCACGCGAAGCAGAAGGTATGTCCGCAGCGGCAGGTCACCGGTGCCGCCTCAACGTAAGCCACCTTGATCGCGTTACTGCAGTCCGGGGACGGACACCATCGGAGGAGGCGGTTGCACTGATAATATACATAGCATTTAAATATATAGCTGCAAACATACACAAACCAACTTACACCTGTTACTTTGGGGCTAGGCTAATTGGTGTGTGTTAGAAATAATTATTTATTGTCATTCATAACTTGTGCAGCAAAAAAACATGTTTTCGTTTTTCTCTAAGAATAGCCTCTTTAAAATTATATTTTTCCTTATTTATCAAAATGCAAAATGAATATTTTAAGATGTATATAAAAGAACCACATTTATTTCTATCCCATTTACCTTTACCAGTTGTACCAGGTTCACAAAAACAAAGTAAAGAAATTTAATTCAATCATTTATTACTATTTTTAATAGGGATGATGACGATTATGAGGTTTAAAGTAAACCAAATTCTATTTAGTCCGTCAGTTAGATTATATCACCTTTGACACCACTTTTAAGTATTTAATTCAGTACAATTTCAATGTATTGCACTCATGTGCAATAATGTGTGCATAAAATACCTTAGATGAACCCTGTCAGGGTGGTACTACGTGTACTGCAGTGCCTTATAGTTAAAAATTACAAGAGATATTAATTCATAAATACAGAAACACTTATTTATATAATTTTAATTTGTATTAAATAACTTTATTTCTTAAATCATGCATAAATGTCATCTGAATTCATTTATTTTATAACAGAACTTACTCAATTGATCTTATTTACAGTAGGTAGTTTGAGTACAAAAATTTTGTAATTATTATTAACGAAATTCATTTATAAAATTAAAGTTTATTTATTTTTATTTAATAAATAAATATATTTAAAATTTTCTCCTAAATTGGTTAACATCTTTTGTTTTTTATGTGAGCTGGTAATTTATTATAAATTTTTATTTACACCGCTTTTTGCGATGTATTTCTATTAAGAGTTTCGTCTACTTTTTTGCTGAAAATTCAGTCAGTGACAGTGTGGCACAGGGGGTGCGATATGTTATCATTCTTCTACTTTCTGTTTGGATACAATACAATAGGATACAATAGTTAGATAATAATGATTGAATTTACCTCCACAAAGCTGTTGGTGATGATGTGTTGATACTTGAGCTTGACTCGTGGATCCCTCACCAGTCGCATGACAGTGGCATCGTCCACCAGGATGTCACATGCGTGGGCTGCGCATGCAATTGTTTGGCCCTACATAGATACCGTATTATTTAATTTGTAACAATAACACCATTTAGGTTATTTTATTAAGGAAATTGTTATTATAGCTTTTTTACTATTTCAAATGAAGCAGCTAGCATATATAACCATGGCTGACCAGTAAAGCCCTGATGACACGTGGCGAGTTTACAAGTTGCTAGCAAACTCACTGGCTTGTAGCTTGTAAACTCACCCCATATCATTGAGGCTTAACAGACAAAGGATGGATGGCCATTTAGTGTTACAATCAAAAATAAATCATATATTTATACCACATTTTATCACTTATTCTATTATTTCGTTTGTTCTATGTTCTTTTAACTTCTATGGGTGATTTTAGTTAACTTTAGGGACTTATGTAACTGTGGGAGAAAGTATTTATTAATATACCAATACCTAATAAAAAAGGTTTGTAATGATCTTGAAGATTCACATTAAGTTAAGTTAGCAAATTCAGATCTATTAACTACTACATATGAATTAACTTACTAAGCCTTCTTCCATTATTTTAGTTGTTAAATATTCACACCAACACTGTGTGCAAAATCTATGTCCACATTCCAGACCTGTCATCATCTGGAAATCACAAGACAATAATGTAAGCCATTCTTTGAATTAACATCATATTCTTTATAATAAAATAATGACAACAATCATACCGAAGAAGGTAGAACTGAAAAACATATTTCACATTCCTCTGTTCCCGATGTAGATATTCTTCTGGGTAGCTGTGACAATACAAATAAGACATTTTGTATAGGGTGAAGCATTGAGTAATCAAAAACTACCTATTACTATTTAAATGTATATAAGCAATAAATTTACACCACCTCCATTTTAAGCGTTATATCCATATAACCAGGACCATATAACTTCAGACGTTATGTCCGATGGTTGTTATTAACAATATACAAAACAAGTTATATTATTGTCATAATGTATGTATGTAGTATGGTTATAGATAATGAATTTTATTAGAATCTGATAGTTCGGACCGATAGGAGGGACAGGGACGATAGACTGTCTCTTTCTAGCAGTCTTATAAGATTTTGCCTAAGTTGTTAACTTTCGAAAATATTATGTTATTGTGTTTGCTTGTTTTCAAATAAAATATAGAAAAAGAAGTAATAAGTATACTATGAAAAAATTTAAGTACCTACAGTATATTTTGTTTTGCTGGAACAAGTAAAACGCTTAGTCGTTATAACCGATGAATATCGATATTGAACTTCATCAATATTCTTGGTTATAAGTTGTTTTAAGCGGTTCCCTATATCCAATGTTGTTATAGGCGGTTTGTTTCCTTAAGGATTTATATAGGGTTTCGGTTGGGACCTTGCCAATTGGTCGCAATAACAGACACGTCGTTATAAACAATGTCGTTATATTAGGTTTTGACTGTACGAATAATAATTTCTACTTTTAATAGAAAAAGAATGTGCAGAATCAATAGTTTTATGGTTTCGATTTCCTACATCTTTATTAATTAAACACTTAATTTATACACTTTTGAACCATACCATAGATAACTTTATTTATTGTATGGAATGAAAAAACAATGTAAATGCTAAAAAAGGAAAAATCATTTTACCTTTGGCCTCTGTATGACTGGTTTCCTGAATGGATTAATGACCCTAGCCTCAGAGAACAACTGGTCCTGGTCCCCATCATAGAATCGTTCCATAAGTTTTTCTTTGTCCCATTTGAAGTGATTTAAAAGTATTCGAGTAGTTGTTGTTGGTATCTGCAAGATAACAATAAGTTCTTTTAAAATTCATATATGCTACTACCACAATAGAATTGTTAGATAAACAATATAAATATATACTTTATCTTTGACCTATTAACATGAATTTTCAATCAGCACCATCACATTATTAATTAAATAGAAAGATTCAAATAAAAAGAATACACCATTCGAAAAAGTCTTTGTTTCAATTTCAGTGGCTTGTTCCTCAGATAAGATTATGCTGCTTGTATACTGGTTAACGGACTATAATGAAGCGACACAGCAGAATAAGCATTAAACTGATTGAAATAAAATTGATGATAAACAAACCAAATTCTTGATTTTTGATGTTTTTTTTATTAATAGATTTATAAAAATGTTTATAATATAACTTGATGACAGGTGTTACACTATATGATTTAGAAAAAAATGTATGTACTCAATTCATTATCTTTGTAAAAGTAACTTCATGAATTTTAACTGTTTACTATTCCTAAGACAAGGAAAATCAGGTCTAAAGGCCATTGATTCAGTAAGCTATCACTATAAATTCAAGAAAGTGACTTGAGACTGAACTGGAATAGGTGTGAAGAAGCTTAGATGTGACACAAAAGATTTTATTGGAGTGTTCTAATATACAACTAGGTAACCTCATTCAACGTTCATTGTTTACTACTAACATACTGACCTCGACAACAGTGTTCACCTCTTTTATACAATCAACCATGTGCTGAACGATTTCCTCCGTAGATAACACCTCGTATGGATATTCTTCGAGCTCCGTTTGTCGTTCCCTTGTACTGTGAGTCTCAACGTCCATTGCAAAGTCGACATCGTCTCCACTGGACTCATTCCCAGAATCCACATCATCCTTTGTGTCGTCTTCAGAATCCATAGTCGAGACTTTGTAGAAATATATATGCTTGAAAAGGGTACAGCCAGAGTACGTAATGATGAAATAATTACACCTAAGATTTAGGAAAGGTCAACAATGAAGAAAATAGTTCACTCACGGACTGCCAAAACCTCTGACGTATGAATGGCAGTGTCTATGACGTCACTTCTTTCATCAGTCTATTGTCTGTGGTGAGTATGCCTGGTATTGCCATTTTAATTATTTCTCTAAAGCCGAAAATAGATTTGTCTATCGTGTGTGTCGTGACGCGTCAGATCAGGTATCGGTTTCATACGTATGGTACGGATAAAATTATATTTGTGTCGCAATGTGTCGCGGTGTGTTAACGAAATATATGAAACCGATCTGACGCGTGACGCCTCACGACACAATACAGCAGACAGATATATTTCCCATTTAATAAGGTAAAAGGAGCATGTGCACCTCAGGCCCACCTCTTAAATCCTTATGAAACCCATCTAGAACGAATGTGACGACGATATTATTCCTTATTTCTGTATTAATTTATATGTGCCGGCTTCCCGACGGAGGAGGGCCCAAGAACCAGAAGCTTTTAAGTTAGGTTTTAGACAAATACTTGAAACAAAACTTAATCGGGCTATTTACCGACCAGATGATTATTTTAATTTAATGTGACGGCATTTAAGGCAGCTACGGATACATTCATTAAATATGTGATGCAATTGGGAGGGCGATATAAGCAATTGAAGATAAACGACCATGTAGGCTCACTGATTATAACCGAAAATCATAGCGAGATTTGCAACAAAATGGAAATAAAAGAAAATTCTAAACCGTTTAACCATGACAAACAGCACATAAGAGTATTTCGAAGGTTTCTCTGCTTAAGTTTTAGAAAATACTGTTACTTATTGTTCGGTGACGACATTTGAAAGTCTCTTTAAGGTTATTTTCTATATCTTCGTCAATAGTTCCGTCGTTAGGAGTAAATATTTTTGATAGGTGAATCGCAAATGCTTCAGCAGGGAAGTAGCAACAGAAATTAGATCCTTAGGGTACGGCCACAGTGCACTCAGATTCAGACTCAGAAAACAAGCGCGAGAAATAAACAGTGTAGTTAAAGCAGGGGGGCCATAGTGGCAGCAGGCAACTGGTTGCCCGCGCAGGTTTCGGAGTCACACACTTTACCGGAATGTTTAGGTCTCTCAGATTCTGAATTCGCCAGCGCCCCGCTCGGACTGCAGGTAGGGTTGCCAGCCCTCCTATAAAATATAGTATCCTACTATATTAGGGGATCAAATACTGGTGTGTTGAAATTTTAAGTTCCTAAGAGCCAACATATATAAAGTCTAATAATAAACAAAACTGCTTAATTATTAGTCATTATCTATGTTTATAATCTTTAGTGATAAATATTTACTTTAAAATTTTAAAGTTTAACCTAGATATGCAAAACTCATTATAATGTGTATAATAAAAAAATGTTATTTATCATTAAAAATAATTTCATTAACATTGTGTTTTTTGTATTATCAATGCATTGTTCCTATATATAATAGAAACCATACAAATTATTCAAATTACACTACCCTCGCGAATCCAGACCCAGCTTTCCGGTTAATCCGGACAGTCTGGTCCCATCAAATCCGGATTAGTGAGATTGCAATAAATTCTTACCTAATGGTTATAACAAGGCGTTCTTCTGGAAGAATCTTGTGTTTGTGCAAATTACACCAATTCTTCATCATGTGAGGTTATTTTTTTTTTAAATGTAGGATAACGTTTCCACTTCCATCTTAAAATATTGGAAGAAACGTTTCCTATCGACTTTTAATTGAGGAAACAAATGGTTACCACCATTTGTTGTTCCCCATATTCACTCGTTAATCTATTAATTTCGTGAACACCGATTCTCTCACGTTTTAATTTGTAATGACAACTATCAGTAGCCATTAACAAGCACGCTAGATCTTCATTAGAAAACTCCTCCGTGTTTACAACTGCGAAAACACCCCCCAATTTAAGTTTCTGGATTCGCTTCGAAGGCGTCGAATGAGAAAGAGAGACTCTTGAATGACTGTCGATTGCAATTTTTTACAGATTAAAAGATTATGAAGTGGTTTTATTTTTATATAAAAATGTTAATAAAGAAAACCCCCGTTCCCCCAAAACTTAATTTCTTCCCCCTCAATAATCGCTTATCGCTTTAAAAAATTTGGGGTAACCCACCCCAACCTGGCAACAGTGCTCGCGTCCGCGTCTTGTATTGTCTGCCTCCACTGTGGCCATCACCTGCTTTCCTCAAGCCTGTTTTCTGAGTCTGAATCTGAATCTGAGTGCACTGTGGCCGTACCCACAGGCACGTTGAGGGTGGTTTTCCCAAATTTGGGGGGTTTTTAAAGCGATGGGGGGATCAATGGGGGAAGAAATTTTGTTTTGGTGGCCGTTTCCACCTACTTTCTTTATTACATTTTTATATAAAAATATAACCACTTCATAAACTTTTAATCTGTAAAAAGTCGCAATCGACAGTCATTCAACAGTCTCTCTTTCTCATTCGACGCGTTCGAAGCTTTTGATCCAGAAACTTAAATTGGGGTGTGTTTTTGCAGTTGTAAACATGGAGGAGTTTTCTAATGAAGATCTAGCGTGCTTGTTAATGGCTACTACTGATAGTTGTCTTTATAAATTAAAACGTTAGAGAATCGGTGTTCACGATTAAGGAGTGAATATTGGAAATACCACCATTTGTTTCCCCAATTAAAAGTCGATAGGAAACGTTTCTTCCAATATTTTAGGGTGGAAGTGGAAACGTTCTAACTACTACATTTAAAAAAAATTGAACCTCACATAATGAAGAATTAACATCAGTCTCTCCTTTTCATTCTGTATAGAGAATACCAGAATCGACACCATTGATGTCAATTCTTTCACGATTCTCTAAACCTAAACTTAAATTTGACAACAGTGTATCCTTGTCATTCTCTATACGGACTGAAAAGGAGAGATTGATGTTAAATTTAGTTTTAAGTTTAGAGAATCACGCCCGAATCGACACCATTACGTGGTTTTAATATTTACTTTATTTTTGAAATAAATATATTGTTGTTGCTCTTTGCCTTACTAATATTATAATAACAATGTCTAATATTTTTTAAGAAAGCTTTTACTGTCAAAAATTAACCAAAATATAGTAGCTTAGCCTACTACATATTTTTTTGAAATATAGTATTTGATCCCCTATTAAAGTAGGATACTATATTTTATAGGAGGGTTGGCAACCCTACCTGCAGTCTGAGCGGCGCTGGTGAATTCAGCAGTGTTGCTACCTTGGTGGTTTTTCCACCAGAACTGGTGCTTTTTCACAGCTTCTAGTGATATATTTTCATTATCTAGCGGTTATATTTTTTTTAGTGTTTTTTAGTGGTTTTTTAACATAAAATCTAGCAACATATTTGTATGGGGGAAATCCCCTAACTTTCCGAAATTTCATAATGTTCTATGCTTACTCTGTGACAGGGGAATTCCTAACGCGTTTGACTGTTAAGGGCTTCCTTTAATCGTTCATTCTGTTTCATGAATTAGACACTTAACAACAACACAATGAACGCCATTGTGTTGTTAAAAAGTGTAAAAGTTTGATTTGATAGAAACATTTGTAACAGTGTATGAACTCGTGAAGCTGTATGTTTAGAGTATGCAATTATATGTTATTATGGAAATTCTATTCAAGAAAAAGAATTACATACAAAAGTATAGAAAAGAATGGAAATCACTCGACGAATTCCAAACTTGGCTTAAACTTTTAGCAGGTGTTGATGCGAAGGCGTTTTGTTCATTTTGTAAAGCAGAATTATTAGCAAAAGTAGTAGAGAAGACATGCTAAAACAAAAAAGTACAAACAAAAAATGCGAATTCTATCCGGCACTCAAAAGATGTCATTGAAAAAACTACAACCACAACCAAACATCTTCAGCTTTGACATCGGCTTCATCGACAGAAGCGTCGGCGTCTGTGAACGACGATGAAGTTAGAAGTGTAACATTTAACAATATTGAATTTTAAATTTTACATTTTGTTTAAGATTTATTTCTTGATAATAAATAATGAATATAAATACATATCTACCTGGTTTTATTTCATTCTCTAGTACTACTAAGGTAACGCATGGAATAGTTATAAGTTAGTAAAAACAATATTGCCGTTTTTTTTAAATAACATAATAGGCTAGTTTACTCATGTCGAATTGTATTAAATAAATGTTTATTTCTTAAAGTATTTGGTCTAAGGAACCTAAATATATCGATTTCACTTCATAAAAGCAGAAGATTGCTGTAGAAATTTAATTTTAAAAAATATTTTTTAGTCTATATTTTTTAAACACTAAAAACGCTGTTCGCCACATCCGGCATGATTTTGACGTCTCTTGTGGTAAACAATTAAATGTCATTCACGTGTTACTGTAGGTGGATTCTTTCGTCTGACTAAATTTATCTTAAAACACTTTTAACTTTAGGAAAGAAAAAAACAGTAAACTTAGTTTTTTTTGACAAAACTAATTATGGATGCCGGTTTTGTGAAAGCAGAAAGCACAAATCTGCCAAGAATTGACGCATTGATGGTTGGTGAATTTGTTGCACTAAACCCCGATTTCTGCTCTGCGGAGCAGAGAAACGACAAGGCATCTATGTAAGTACAGTGCATTTAGTATTACAGTGTAGTAATAAACATAAAACTGATACAACATATGAATAAGTGTAATAAAGTTGCGTAGGTTAATTTCTTTCGGCACTTTAATCCACAACTTTCCTGGAGTCTTCAAGGATGTGTTTTTATATTCTCGTACAATACAGTAATGATAATAGGCTAGTTTACTCATGTCGAATTGTATTAAATAAATGTTTATTTCTTAAAGTGTTTAGTCTAAGGAACCTTAATATATCGATTTCACTTCATAAAAGCAGAAGATTGCTGTAGAAATTTAATTTTAAAAAATATTTTTTAGTCTATATTTTTTAAACACTAAAAACGCTGTTCGCCACATTCGCCATGATTTTGACGTCTCTTATGGTAAACAACTAAATGTCATTCGCGTGTTACTGTTGGTGGATTCTTTCGTCTGACTAAATTTATCTTAAAACACTTTTAACTTTAGGAAAGAAAAAAACAGTAAACTTAGTTTTTTTTGACT